TTTCTAATGTCTCTGTAAAGCACTTTGAATCACCTTGTTGTTGAATTGTGCTATACAAATAAACTCGCCTTGCCTAAATGCTTCTTTCACCACCATGTAAAACTATTTGTTTGAAACACTAAACTCTTAAACTTGCAGCCACTGTTCATGCAACCCAAGAGTGTACAGGGCTGTCAGCCTGAAAATCATCAACGTTGGTTCCTAGTCCAGTTTTATCCACAGCATCAAGGTCATGGGCAGATCTTCTGTGGACCGTTCAGACCATCCACAAAGGTCTCTGTGCCCCCTCTACATATTACTACTACTGAAGTAAACTGAAGTGATAGTGTTTGGTAATGACAGAGTTAAACATCGTCAGAGTGAGATCAAGCTAAACTTCATTCATCTGTAAATGTCTTTAAAGCCCGAACAAAAGGAAACGAGCAGAGATGAGACGCTTACACAGTCTCAGCGTCTCTGTCCACCATCCAGGGGAAGAAACCTTTTGCAGTTTCTGGCTGTATTTCTCTCTCAGCGCACTGAGACAGAGCGCAGGGTCACGACATGTCCAGTGTCAATGAATTACCCAGGATGACCCGAGTGCAGTGACAGCATCAGCCGTTTGCCTCTCTGCCAGAAAGGGCTCGGTTTCTATTAGAACAGATACTGTTACTCAGCAGTGCTTTTATTGTTTTGATACTTTGTCTAAAATAATAAAATGAAATTTGTGTTATTTGTAACATAAAATGAAGGAATCATCAATAACTGCACATAAAAATGTTAGGGCAATATTTCTGTTTCATGTGTTTGAAAGAAAATAAATTCTAATCAGACTTTGAATTTGAAAAATCCAATAATATCAGTAATAATCTTGTAGTACTGACTGAGTGTCACATTAGGTGACAGTGATCTCTGCAGTAAAATCTGTTAAAGTTTGTCCAGAACCGAGCAGCAGATCTTTGAAACTCTGGTTAGTTACACATGAGCAGTTACTGTCACTGGTTTCTGGTGTTTTCCAATAAAACCAGAGTGAATTCATACTGGACGGCTGCTGGCTTTTACGTGTGCACCAAACCACAAATGTCAGATTTAAAATATATTTTCATTTTAAATTGGAGAAACTAGTCAAAGTCACCACATTCCCGCTTCAGCGGCTCCTTTGTCAGCGGCTCCTCCGCGCTCTCCGCCCCGGGCTGGACTCACTCTGCGACGGCTAAGCTAACAGCGTCCGCCCGGCCTGAGAGCGCAGCGCTGGTCCTCCTCCTCCCGGGCCTGCTGCCCCACGTACCTGCGGAGTCTGCAGTCCAGCTCAGGGCCCCGTGCTGCTGCTGGAGCTGCTCCTCGTACTGCAGGACGGTTTTCTCAAACTCCCTGAAGATTTCCTCCGCCGCGGCGCTCAGACGCTCCTTCACGAACAGCCTCAGATGCTGAAGAGCGGACATGGTTCCTCCAGCAGCTCCGCCGAGCCTCAGCGATACAAAACAACCTCCAGCTCCCAGCTTCCGACGTCCACACAGCCGTGAAGCTTCAGTCCACTTCCGCCGGAAGCTGCTTTTCCTTTAAAAATAAAACGCACTCTACGGAAGCTTAATGCATTCACTGGCCAAGAAATACAAATTAAATT